ATGTTCTAATGTGGACGGGGACTTGGAAGCGTTATCATCATCATCATCATTTCAGCCATAGGACGTCCACTGCTGAACATAGGCCTCCCCCAATGTTTCCCTGTTGATCGATTGGTAGCGGCCTGCGTCCATCGCTTCCCTGCTACCTTTATGATGTCGTCTTGGAAGCATACTTACAAATAACATATAAGCTTTTCCAAGTACTATAGCTTGAAACTAAACTTATTCAATTATATTTTCTTAAGCTGTGGTTATTTGTCTGTTATTTTTTCACTGAATGTTTTCCGAACAAAATAAAATAAAATTAGCGTTTTAGACAGCTATTATTTAAAAAAAAACTAACTTCCAACAATCAAAAATGTTTAATTTACAACAAAGGAAAAATAACTTAAAAGAATAATTAATAAATCGACACAATTAAATAGCAAGGGTGTGAACGTCCGTCCGATCCGAGAGCAGCAGCAAAAGTGAGCTCCGCCAGCCCGTTCGCTCCCAGCGGCGTGCGCGCCCCTCCGAACAGGTCATGATCACGCCATGTGACGTCACAGCCAAACCCCGCCTCCTCAGACGCATTCCTCAGCTAACACGGCCGTTCCTGACAGCGGGTCGTCCTCGACCGCAGCATCATCAGGGTCTGGTGGCGTTGGCTGGGTGGACGTGTGGCGTGATCTTGGTGGCTGAGCATGGACCTCCGCTTCGACTTCTTGGAGACCTCCCGTTGTCCCGCCTTCGGTGTCAGAGGCACTGTCATGTGCCTCCTCATTGTTACCTATGAACGATATTGTTTGCATTAGAGTACATTCAACACTATAAAACAACATTCAATTATAAGACATCACGTCTTATAAAACAACAAATTGTGTTCATTTTTATGTAAGACATTGCCCGGGATGCCAAACACAAAAATATCCACCTAACTAGCAGAGCCCTCAGGATACTAGTCACCGTACAGAGCCCTCAGGGTGTACGAACGGCAGAGCCCTCAGGTTACCGCAACAACACAATATACAGAGCCCTCAGGATGTATACAATTGGCAGAGCCCTCAGGGTGCCACAACAGTCAACAACACATGTACAGAGCCCTCAGGATGTACCATAGGCAGAGCCCTCAGGATGCCTAATGCATGGGTGTACCAGACAACAGTGGAATAACAGAGCCCTCAGGTTATTACTCAACACTCGCACAGAGCCCTCGGGATGCGCGCCATGCACTTCTCAAACACATACTCACAGTCGAAGAATGCTGTACACACATCGGGGGTCCATTCTCCTTGCCACAAAACCATGTATTCGGCCGCGGCTTGTGTGGTTTTGCCATACGATCCAGTGACCAATCGGAGCTCGTATCTGCCGTGTGGCAGAATTCTTGTCACGGCGTAGGGGCCGCGCATGCCAGAGTCTAACTTGCCCGTGGACTGGCTTGTCTTGCGCACGAAAACCAAGTCGTTGAGTTGAAACGACCGGGGTGCTCTGCGACGCTCATTCACACGAGCATCCTGGCGCACTCGGTTCTCGTCCAACAGCTCACTAGCGCGCTGTCGCGCCAGTTCACGCAAGGACTCTCGGTTGGGGCTGGCTGCATCCATCGCGATGTCGCGAACCACGGATCGTATGACAGGCGTCACACCATTGCTGCCAATTAACAAATTTAAAGGTGAACACCGAGTAGATCTTTGCACTGTGATGTTCAGGTTGAGCTGTAGTTTCCAAATAATTTTAGACCAACTTTCTTGACGGAAGTTTGTTTCTACGCGAATCATATTCATAACAGTGCGACAATACCGCTCAACCTGACCATTACTTTGGTGCATTTCTGCAGTAATAAAGTGAATTTCACATCCTAAATCCTTAATCCAATTTGTAAACAAAGAGCTCTCATAAATTCGTCCTCGATCAGCTACAATTAAGCGAGGCGTACCAAATAGCGAAATAGCACTCTCAAAAACGCGATTTAACTCACTCGTGTCTTGTCTAAATATCGGAGTAAGTAAGCAATATTTTGTAAAAGCGTCTACAATTAAGACAACAAACTTATAACCGTTCGAGTCGGGAAGGGGCCCTAAAACATCTGTGTGCACGGTATCAAAAGGCGTGCCCGGCTTGTCCCACGACTGGATCGGTTGTAAGGGTTGACGCGGTACTTTCTTGTGAGCTAAGCAAACAATACAGTGTTGAATATACTTTCTAACAAACTGTCTAAGTCCGGGAAACCAAAAATATCTGAGAATTAAGTCGGTGGTTTTCTCAACACCAATATGTTGATGTTCGTCGTGGAAAATTCGCAGTAAACTAAGGCGGTGGCCTTTTGGGATGTAACATAATAAACGAGCCTGTCCTCCGGTCACATTGAGTTTGTAATACAAAGTGTCATTACGTTTTATATAGCGTTCCGAGTCAAGCTCACCATCATTGAGTTTCTGCAAGAGCTTTTGAGTCTCCTCGTCAGCGGCCTGCGCTATCTGAGCCCAGTTTTGTGGTTTTGAAATTTGGCACATATTTATCGCGTTACGACTCAAATAATCCGCATGAGATAGCGCAGTCCCCTTACGATACTCAAGCTCAAAGTCATAGTCTTGTAAATACATCCACCACCGAGCTATTCTCGGTAGCAAATCCTTTTTGCGTTGGGTGAGCTTCAAAGCGTTGCAATCTGTTACAACTTTAAACTTATTACCGATCAAATAATGTCTGAACTGTTGCAGCGCTTTGAGCACAGCCAACGTTTCTAACTCATAAGAGTTGTAACGAGATTCCGCGCCCTGAGTGACTTTACTAAAGTAGGCAACAGGTCGTTTGTGGCCTTCAGTGTCCGTCTGAAGCAAGACAGCCCCATATCCCCGCGAAGACGCATCGGTGTGCACTTCCGTGGGTAGCGAAGGATCGTAAATAGCCAACACCGGTTCGTTAGTCAACTGATCGATAATATCTCTACGTACCTGTTCGTGTTCATCGCTCCACTGAAACTGCACACCTTTGCGAAGCAAATTAGCGATGCAGGCCGTTTTAAGTGAATAGCCGGGAATGTATCGCCGAAAATATCCGGCGAGGCCAAGGAACTGCCTTACCTCCTTGACGTTGGTAGGTGTTCGAGCTCTGACCAATGCTTCTATTTTGTGTTTGCTCGGCTTCACCTGACCGTGACTGATCGTTCGTCCTAAATATTCTACTTCTTGAGCCAAAAATGTACACTTCTTTAAGTTAATAGAAAAGCCAGCAGTGGTCAGAGTCCGTAGTACCTCGCGGAGCGTCTGGAGACCCTCATCAATAGTTTCGCTCGGTATAAGCACATCGTCTATATAGACGAGAGCCTTACCTGACTCGATAAAGGGGCGCAATGTGTCAGATATGATGCGCTGGTAAACGACAGGAGAATTTGCGAGTCCGTACGGCATTTTGAGGTACTCATAGTGACCTTCGGGCGTCACAAAACCGGTATAGTGAATAGAATCGTTATCCATTGGAATTTGGTGAAAGCCGGTAGCCATGTCTAAGCTGCTGAAGAATTTGGCTTTACCAAGGCGATCGATATGGTCCTCAATAAGCGGCAATGGATAACGATCCTTCACGGTATTCGCATTTAACGCTCGGAAGTCGACGCACATCCTGTCGCTGCCGTCCTTTTTCTTAACTAACAGAATTGGACTCGAGAACTCGGATTCAGACTCTCTAATTATTCCCTTATCGAGCAGATCCCTAATAATGTCCCGAACTTTTATCTTTTCGTGATACGACATTTTGTATGGTCTATACACGATAGGCGTCTCATTATGAAGTCGAATATGCATCGACCCAGTATTAACAGTCGTAGTAGCAGTACCGGTTACGAAAAAGTCAGCAAACTCACCGATAACGGACAACAAACGTTTTTTATTATCACCATCGACCGTAGTGTTAATTTGTGCATTAACGTTTGACTCGGCGGCGTTAACTAGCTTTGATCGCGTAAGGTGTTGCTTGCCTCGGGTTCGCGTATAGACCACACCATCCCTATTAAGTACATCTGTACCTAGTATGACGGGCGTATTTAAATATCGATCAGGGACTACATGAAAGTCGACTTCAAGGGAAATCTCGGGGAACTCAACGGTCAAAGTGGTAGAAAAGCTAGACTCGACCTCTTGACTGCCTATACCGCGTAACGTACAAAAAGATGGCGTTTGAGTGCACTGAAAATGCTTTGCTACCGATTCAGCAATTAAAGAAATTTGCGAGCCACTATCTATTAAAATATCTACTGGCACCCCTTGAATAACCGCGGCGGCTATGTCATTCTGCCTATATTCATTTGATGTTTCACGGAAAAAGTTAACGTTCGACTTCCCACGTGACTCACTGCGCTGTTTTGCAAAACAGTCCTCAATTTTATGCCCGGTTTTCTTACAAAAACTACATGGATCGGATTGATGCGGGGCGTTATTTGAAACAGGCCGGTTAGAAGTCGAGGCTAGGTTTTTGTCGAAAGAATCATTTGATTTTACACGTTTAGGACAATGATACTGTTTGTGGCCGAAATTATCACACCTAAAGCATTTGGGTTTCGTATTAGGATATTCTCTCTTACGTAAATTATGGTAGGAGTCGTTATTGGGAGCATCACGTGGCCGTGTACGAACTGGTGGAACATTGCGAGTGGGTTTGATATAAATTGATAAGAAACCAACTAAATCACCGGGTAGTAAATTGGCATTAGTCGCAGCCGCGCGAATCTGCGGGTCAGTTATTCCCCGAATAATAATTGCAGTTATTAATTCTTCACTCAACCCACTGACAATGCGCAACCGCAACAACGAACGCCTAGCGTATTCTGCGTATGTAGTATAGCGATCCGAGTTAGTTTGCATCACATCAAANCCACATACTCACAGTCGAAGAATGCCATACACACGTCGGGGGTCCATTCTTCTCGCCACAAAACCATGCGGCCACGGCTTGTGTAGTTTTGCCATACGACCCAATGAACAATCGGAGCCAGACTTGCCCCGTGGACTGGCTTGTCTTGCGCACGATAACCAAGTCGTTGAGTTGAAACGACCGGGGTGCTCGGTGACGCTCATTCACACGAGCATCCTGGCGCACTCGGTTCTCGTCCAACAGCTCACTAGCGCGCTGTCGCGCTAGTTCGCGCAAGGACTCTCGGTTGAGGCTGGCTGCTTCCATCGCGATTTCGCGATGTCGCGAACCACGGATCGTATGACAGGCGTCACACCATTGCTGCCAATTAACAAATTCAAAGGTGAACATCGAGTAGATCTTTGCACTGTGATGTTCAGGTTGAGCTGTAGTTTCCAAATAATTTTAGACCAACTTTTATGGTAGAAGCTTGTTTCTACGCGAATCATAATCATAACAGTGCGACAATACCGCTCAACCTGACCATTACTTTGGTGAATTTCTGCAGTAATAAGTGATAAAGTGAATTTCACATCCCAAGTCCTTAATCCAATTTGTAAACAAAGAGCTCTCATACATTCGTCCGCGATCAGCTACGATAAAGCGAGGCTAGGCGTACCAAATAGCGAAATAGCGTTCTCAAAAATGCGTTTTTAACTTAATAGTGTCTTGTCTAAAAATCGGAGCTAGCAAACAATATTTAGTGAAAGCGTTTACAATTAAAAAACAACATTACTAGCGTTACAACATAACAGTAAAGGCGTTTATGATTAAAGCGTTTACAATAAAACTACTTAAAACCGTTCGACCAACAATAATTCTATTTTGTGTTTGCTCGGCTTTACCTGACCGTGACTGATCATTATAATTCTACTTCTAGTGCCAGAAATGTACCTATATTTCATAAGTGAATAGGAAAACCAGCAGTGTTCTGAGTCCATCATAGCACCTCTATTGAGTACCTACATCTGTACCTAGTATGACGGGTGTATTTAAATATCGACAATCGACTTCGAGAGAAATCTCGGGGAACTCAGGAGTTTCAACTCGAACTTTTGACTACCTATGCCACATAAATCCGCGTAATGTACAAAAAGACGGCGTTAAGGGTAAACTGAAAATGCTTTACGACCAATTCAGCAATTAAAGAAAATATTTTGCGAGCCACTATTTATCAGAATATCTACGGGTAGGTACCCCTTGAATAACCGTTGCGGCCATGTCATTCTGTCTATTAATTTGATGTTTCACGGCAAAAGTTAGCATTCGACTTCCCGCGTGACTCACTGCGCTGTTTTGCGAAGCAGTCCTCAATTCTATGCCCCGTTTTCTTACAAAAACTACATGGATCAGATTTATGCAGGGCGGTATTTGAAACAGGCGAGTTTGAAGTCAAGGCTACGTTCTTGTCGCAAGAATCATTCGATTTTACGCGTTTGGGACAGTGATACTGTTTGTGGCCAAAACTATTACACCTAAAGCATGTGGGTTTCGTACCAGGGTATTCCCTGTTACTTAAATTATTATCGTAGAAGTCATTATTGGGAGCATCACGTGGCCGTGTACGAACTGGTGGAACATTGCGAGTGGGTTTGATATAAATTGATGAGAAACCAACTAAATCACCGGGTAGTAAATTGGCATTAGTCGCAGCCGCGCGAATCTGCGGGTCAGTTATTCCGCGAATAATAATTGCAGAAATTAATTCTTCACTCAACCCACTGACAATGCGCAACCGCAACAACGAACGCCTAGCGTATTCTGCGTACGTAGTATAGCGATCTGAGTTAGTTTGCATCACATCAAATAAAATATTTGCGATATCTACCCTACGTGGGCATAAAGCTTGAAAATCACGCTTAACCCTTTTCTTGGCATCGTAACACGGGTGATACATCATAATTTAAAAAATCCTGAGGACAGCAAAAGCATTAGAAATAATTTATTTCATACATAACACGTTCCTGATATATCATAGAATGAGATAAAAAAAACTATTCACACAAAAATACATTTGGCTGTCAGTTATTGTCAAAATTGGATAACCTAAGCATGTTGGCTTCAAACGCGTGGTAAGTTTATTTGTTTATTGGTGATATCACAAAATATTTGTGTTATTTTCTGTATGTAATTTACAGAAGAAGGATTGCTGTGAGTTTTTCGTTTGGTTTGGATGGTGTGTATTGCTACTTGCCGATTTTATAACCGTCCATGTGCCTGTGTATCATATATGTTACATTGCCAAGTGCTTCGTGATGTATTTTTAAATCATAATTTAAGAAAAAATGCCTATTTTTAAAAGATATTAGTGTTACATTAGTAGGAAATACAGTAATTAGAGTGGACAAGCTTGTGGAGTGCAATTAGTTCATAAAAATCTATTAAACTCCATCCACCCTACCTTCTGATGCCGTCAAGTATGACAATGTTGGCCTATTTTCGCTTCTTGTGGAAAATATAAAACCAGAAAAATAGGCAGATTAAATATAAAATGCACAAAATATAATCAACTTTTATGTGTGATAAAAAGTTATTCGATTTTATGACTTTTATCATTATTAGTAGGTATTAAAAGCAAGAGTCTGAGTAATTATTATTTGCTATAATTGGATTTGGCATATTCTTTTCACTCTGAGTTTCTGTTTTGATAAGGAAGTTTAAAAATTACCTTTTTAAATTATTTATGTATGTTTTTGTTCATTCAAAATATTTTTTTTAATATTTTAGCTTTTTAATTTTCTATACCCTAATCTTGGCAGTGTATCATATATGATACACCTGGTTTCTGAAAAACTGAAAACAATATATTTTTTTAAACATTTTTATTGGCCTATTAAGATCATACTTAACTCATAAATATCAAAAAATTTCAAATCGTAGTGAATTTTTGGTCATGCCAAGATAAGGGTTAAAATTGGACCATGAACGATCTTTAGTTGTCCACTCATTGAGCCACACGCGGGCATCGCCTCTCAAACAATTACCTATTCGTGCTAAACATTCGCGGTCGTCCCATCCGTGAATATTACGTAAATGATCAACTTCATCACACCACACAATAAAATCATTAAACGACGGGTCGAAACACGAAATATAAATATTATGGTTGGATCTTACCGGGTTTATGGCATTGATGGCGGTGACAAGCTTGTCTGCTACCTCACTCATGATGGTTTCAGCGCTCGAAGCCGGAGCACTCGACGGCAGCGATGCAGCTACGCTAGCCATCCCCGAAGCCACGCTGGGCACCGGCGCGTCCGCACACGCCCCGACACGTTCCTCGCCACGCGCATCACCGCGAGCGGCCACCAAAGTGGTCGACTCATTCGATAAATCGAGCAGGGGCGGCGGCGGTGGTGGCGTGTGTGAACGCGTGGGTGAACCAACGCACGCGTTGGCCTCACTCAAGGGCCTCCTGGAAGTATCTTCCAAAGCGGTCAAACGAGAAATAATCGTTTGAAGCTGCTCGTCGATATTTGGAGCGGAAGAACGTCCACGTTTCCGATATTTACTACCCTCTTTAGACATCGCGCACCGTGGTCATTTAAAAACGTTCATATTATAAAAATACCGTTAAACTGCACTACTAACAGTCTAGAAAACCAACACAGACGTGGTTACTATCCCACTTCTGAAATTAGCGTTTTAGACGGCTATTATTTAAAAAAAAAAACTTCTAACGATCAAAATATTTAATCCCAACTAATATTATAAATGCGAAAGTAACTCTGTCTGTCTGTCTGTCTGTTACGCTTTCCCGCTTAAACCTCGCAACCGATTTTGATGAAATTTGGCATAGAGATAGTTTGAGTCCCGGGAAAGAACATAGGATAGTTTTTATCCCGGTTTTTGAAACAGGGACGCGCGCGATAAAGTTTTTCTGTGACAGACAAAATTCAACGCGGGCGAAGCCGCGGGCGGAAAGCTAGTTTATAACAAAAGGACAATCTATATATATAAAAATGAAACCCGTTTCGCGTTGTCACGGCATCACGTGTGAACGGCTGAACCGATTTCGATAATTCTTTTTTTGTGGAAGTCCAAGGATGGTTCTTACGGAAAAAAATATTAAGAAAATCTCTACGCTAAGGCGGTACGAAGTTCGCCGGGTCAGCTAGTAACTTATAAAAATAATTAATATTTCCGACACAATTAAACAGCAAGAGTGTGAACGTCCGTCCGATCCGAGAGCAGCAGCAAAAGTGAGCTCCGTAGTGATGNCCATGATCACGCCATGTGACGTCACAGCCAAACCCCGCCTCCTCAGACGCATTCCTCAGCTAACAATATATATAAATATATATATATAGTATAGATAATTTAAGCTTTAGCCGTTCGCATAACTGTGTGAATCGAGGCATTATACAGAGGCCGTACCGACAAGCTACGCCCTGCTGTATGGTATGATGGGCTAAGTCCTATCACCCGCCCGCGGCACAACCACGCCGCCTTCCACAAGCGCAGGCGCCGTTATTTACGCCGCAGCGCCGCGCCGCCGCCGCCGCATGCCCAGCGCTGCCAGCGCAACGCGGGAAGCGCCATTAAAGACCGACCAGAACACCAAGGTAACCCGCGTCCCTAGACGACGCGCCATCTATGTACAGGTATGTGCTGGCCGCTTAAAATATTTTTATTTTAAATGTCCGGTTACAGAATTTATTGTACCGAGATACCTATTCGATTCCCGATTCGAACCCAGATTATTTTTTTCATAATCATCATAACCATGCGAGTAAACATAAATAATTAATTATATTTCGTCGCTTCATTCTTTGATATAATTATTTACTAAGTAGTCCCTTTATCCTACAGGCAACATCGCACGACTTTAGAGAGTATCTCAATTGACTTAAAAAACATCATTCGTTCGGTTCACTCGTTCGGCCGTTAGCGCCTAGGTTCTGTCACGGTTAGTGTCTTTAGGGCCAAGTGACATAATGGAATTTAGGTTAATAGTTAGAGAAATAAAAGATAGTTTAGGTTAACAAGTAGTTTATTTAGATTAAATCATTAAAGTAGTGAGAATGAGAACTCTTAGGGAGTGGGTTGTCGAGCAAACTATCATATCGCACGAGATTCGTCACCGGTGGTAGTGTATATCAAACCACTGTCCTCGCTAGCATTGATGATGATGTGGGTTGGTTCTTCGCTGGTGGTAATCCCGCAGAGTCGTCGACACGCCAGACGGTAAGGGCCGTACGCACTGTGGTGTAGGGCCACTTTTAGAGTGTGCGCACGGGCCGTCCGACACGGCAGGCAGCTCTGCCGGGTTGAGGAGCCAAGTGGTAGTTCAGCTGTAGTGCGCTGGCCATGCATGGCAGGTAGTTGTAGTGAAGGTGAAGATGAAGGTGAACGTGAACGTGAAGATGAACCCTGCAATTCAAAGCGGACACTAAAGCAGTTGCTAGCTTTTGTCCGTTTGACTGCGACATCAAAATACTAGCGAAGCAGATGGAATGATTTTTGGTAATAAATGGTGATGTAATTATGTAGCAGTCAAACAGAATCACAGTAGTGAAAGGTGAAGTGAAGTAGACAAAATATTAAATTATGTAGGTAGAAAATTATTTAGAATATCATCTAAATCGTTATATTATCATCGTTGTGGATAAAAAAAAAAAAAAATAAATAGCCACGATAGCCGAACGGTGAAGGGGTCGGACTGGGCGACTCGTGATCCGGGGAACGCGGGTTCGGTCCCCGCCGCCGCTCGACTATTGTGGTGAGCTCACTCGTGACACAAGCATATTTAGCTTAGTACGAGGGGCTAGCGGGAGTATTAGTAATTTGTGTAATAACAAATTACTAATAATCTTTTTACTCAAAAAAAAACCAAAAAAAATAAATATAGGCAATTAATTTTAGAACAATATAAGTAGGTAATAATTTAGGATAATTAGAACAAGTAGAATAAGATTATAATAGTTAAATTTAGCAAATTAAATAGAATTTAGAATGAGTGTCGTTACAGTACGAACAAGGTCATTTAAAGGTCATGACGTGTCGATGTCATTTCACAAAATATTTAGTTTATTATGTAGTAGGATGTAAAACATTACGAGTAACAATTTGTAGCAACAGTTAAAATTACGACATGACATCGTCCAGACACACTGAGCACATGGATTGCACATTTCAAAAACAAAATGGCGGCTAGGTACTTACATTTAGGACAAGTATAAAATCTAGGCATTAAAGATTACTTTTGCAACACTCACCCGGTAGCGGGGTTCACCAATTCGCGATTACATATTTAGTTTTTAAGATATTATATACATCGCGGGTCNATATCATATACAGAAACACTAAAGCTGAATTACACCATCTTACTTTAACTGTAACAAACGTCAGCAATCTGTCAAATTCCATACAAAAATCACCGGTTATTGTTATTTACGGTTAAAGTAAGTTGGTGTAAATCAGCCTTAAAAGATGCATGCACCAAGCGGGTATGATTCTACTCGGTACGGGCGGCGTTATACCATACCAGCAGGGTGGGACATTGTACTATTCACGAGAACAAGGTCATTCACGCATTCACGCTCTGTACTCACACTCATGCGCTTGGTAAGTACATTACATACACAAAAAAGTAAAAAACTCGGTCAAACCAAAAAAAGGGAGGGGATAATCGAAAAAAATAAATCTCCATTCCACTAATAACCGCAATCGTACAATTTATTTATGTGGCACTAGTGAATATTAATGCCTACCTACACTGCGTCTTTCGGCTCGTGGTCGCCACCCCAACTTTTCTGCCCCAGCGACCATCAACTCCACGAGCTATGTACCCCGCCTTCCACTAGTTGGACCGACGATCTGGATATTGTGTGGAAATCCTTGGAGGAAGTCTTTGTCCAGCAGTAGACGTCATTTAGTTGAAACGATCAACTTCATTTGGCTGTTATGGTTCTATACAAAAATTACAAATTAGTAGAATGAAAAGAATTTCATTTTAATATAATCTTGTATCATTCCAGGCACAGCAGTATCAGGATACGCCGTCCGCAGAGAGGCGACAGGGGACATTTGGCAACTAATCGGCAAGAAGAACCCCCAACTGCCCCAGATGTTTTACCCCGTGGCCGACAATACCCCCATAAAGCAAGGCGACGTGCTAGCCGCTAGGTGCACCATGAACAATACGCACTCCTTCCCTGTTAAGATTGGGTAAGTGTTTTTGCTATGCTCGGAGTTTCCCTGCGTGATCGAATCAGAAATGAGGAGATCCGCTGGAGAACCAAAGTAACCGACATAGCTCGCAGAATTGCTAAAATCAAGTGGCAGTGGGCGGGGCACATAGCTCGTAGAGACGATGGCCGTTGGGGCAGGAAAGTTCTCGAGTGGCGACCACGGGCTGGAAGACGTAGCTTGGGCAGGCCTCCTACTAGGTGGACCGACGATCTGGTAAAGGTCGCGGGAAGAGCCTGGATGCGGGCAGCGCAGGACCGTTCATTGTGGAAAACCTTGGGGGAGGCCTTTGTCCAGCAGTGGACGTCATTTGGCTGAAAAAGAAGAAGAAAGAAGTGTTTTTGACTGTCTAAATCAGTGAACCCCCTAGCATGAAAAAAATTTTTGCGACCCCCCGACCGTTCGGTTTTTTTCATGCCTTTTACAAAGATATTGTAGGGAACAAATTCTTCAATCTATACAACATTTATGCATTTGCATAATTAGATTTCGGATCAATATAGCTTTTAAACTTCTCTGGTTTTTTTACTGAGGTAGTTTTTACGACCTCTCGCGACCCCCCTATAGATGATTCGCGACTCACAGGTTGAAAAACACTGGTCTAAATTATGTCCCTTTTGTCTAATGACTTCAAACACACCACATTAGCCACTGCGCTCATCTTGAACTTTTCCCGGTTAAGTTTAGGAAAGTGTTTTAACCCCCAACTGCCTCAGAAGTTTTACGCTGTAGCCGATATGATGACCAACGCTATATGCACTATCAACATCAAGCACACCTTCAATTTACATAAAAAATACCAAGGATATCATGCCATTAATTAGTGTCTTATTTTACTGCTAACTAAGCCATGTAGTTCTGGCAGATTAAAATAGGACCACTCCCACTTATCCCGTGGATCTTAAAAGTCGACTAAGGGACAAATATGCCAACCTTACCAAACCATCTGGACATCGTGTGGAGTGTAGGCCAAGTCCTCCATTTGCCTCTGGTAAATTGCTCCTGCACTAGAAACTAAGCGACAGCGCACATTGGGCGACAAAACGCGGCGACAGACGCGGCCACAAAACGCATGCGCGCGTCATTTCATATATTAGCTGTCATTGCGACTCCGCAACATGTCGCGAAGCTGTGCGCCCAATGTGCGCTGTCGCTAAATGATCAAATGAAGATGTCTTTATAGTATTCAGGAGTTCTATAATTTGAGTAGGATGCGATGATGAAAATTATGTATGAATAAGTATGGAGCAACATTATTGTATTTTAATTGTAATGTAAAATTGTGTAAACTAATTAATTTTATAATTTATCAATATTAATTATTACTAACTATTGTAGNGATGCACTATCGACATCAAGCACACCTTCAATTTACATAAAAAATACCAAGGATTTCATGCCATTATTTATTGTTTTATTTTACTGTTAACTATGCCATGTAATTCTGGCAGATTAAAATAGGACCACTCCCACTTATCCCGTGGATCTTAAAAGTCGACTAAGGGACAAGTCCTTCATTTGCCTCTGGTAAATTGCTCCTTCACTAGAAACTAAGCGACAGCGCACATTGGGCGACAAAACGCAGCGACAGACGCGGCTACAAAACGCATGCGCGCGTTATTTCATATATTAGCTGTTGCGACTCCGCAACATGTCGCGACGACAAGCTGTGCGCCCAATGTGCGCTGTCGCTAAATGATCAAATGAAGACGATTATGAAAAAAATAAAAATTCTCTATTTTCACTAATGAATGTGTATTTTTCCTTCTAGCGCAACAAACAAAGACGAGATGTGCAACTTCTACCTGATGTACTGGGTGGAGAACACCTACCCTCTCGACCAGAAGTACTGTTTCAGCGCCGGGCCCCCCTACTATTACTGGGTGCGCGCGCCGCAAAACTTCAACCGCGTGCCGGACCTCGAAGCCAGCTCCTTGTAAAGGACTGAGGTAAATGGGTGATCGGAAATGGTGACGTTTGTGTTGTGTAAGATATGGTGACATAATAAAAAAGCCTAGGTTTCGATGTCGGATTACCGCTTAGATTAGAGCAGCGTTTCTTTACATTTTTGTCCACGGAACTCTAAAGAAATCCAGCATAATTTTAAGGAGCAGCAATTTTCGTTTGTGACACTTTTGGAGGCAATCGTAAGTAAATACTTACGATTGTTAAATGGTCCGTAGATAAGGCTGCGGACCCCTTGGTAGTTCGATCTCTGTCGACTACTAGACTATTGTGGTCACACTCCTAAACTATCACAAGCATAGTTATGTAGCTGAAAAAATATGCCTATAATATCCTCAATTTGTGTCTGGTAAACAAAAGAGTCGTGTATTATTATTATTATTAAATGACCTGATGATGTTATCAGAAAGTTATATCAGCATATTTTTAAAAAGAAATTTATTGATGTAGTATAAGTGGAGAAATAAATTAGCCTCAGATTTAATATTTTTGTTGGAATATCGCACTTATTACATACAACTGTATTAGTTGCCACATTTTTAGCCTTGATGAACGATGACTCAAAGAGAGATCTGTAGGTCAGACCTTTATCGTTATTTGTCTCTCATTCGTACAGTACACTGAGGAAAGAGAGGTAAATATAAATGTTGCCATTTCCGATCATGATTTATCTGCGTTAGTTAAACAATAGTAATATGTACTAATACATACTATGACAGAAAACCGAAAAAAAAAATGTTTGTCACATAAGTAACGTTGGTGTCACTTATAGTTTTCGCAATATTTTCTATAAACGTATCAGAGATAATAATTGTCGATCGGTCTATTGCTGTATTTAAAGAAAAGGCCATGTCGCCTAATAACTTGTTCTTCGTAGTCAACTGAAGCTGCGTGCTATAAGCTCCCTGTCTATAATTTTCCATAGACTCATAATCTTCAAAGACAAAAATATTTTTGAAATTTTATGAATCGACATGATCTGACCCCTTTTTGTAAGCTAGACTGGGTTGCCTGTGTTAAAAACACTAAGTACTAATCACAAATACTTATAAATGTATGATTATAATGTATTTATACTTCTAGTCAAAAAACTCAGTGAAATAAAAAGACTTTGTAAAATTGTAAGTATTTGAAAGACATCACAAGAGATTTTTAGTAATTGTACAAACCACAGTTTATGTTTAAATACCAAAAGACTTTAGATCTGATTCAAGCGAATTTATATTATTATTTTTATTGTTTAGTTAGTTACAAGAAAAACATTGAATCTTAGACTTTTACTTTTATGTCAAAACTATTTAATATGTCAAATTCTTAAAAATAAATATTTATTTAAGTAATAAAATGTGCTTTTCAAAGATGACTTGTTTCGTTTGTGAGAGAGAGACAATGCTAGTATACTGCGTTCTCTTTCTTACGTCTGTACTATTATGACATGTAGATGTAAGAATATATTTTATTGTATCGACCATAATTTTAATATGACTACTTTGGCGTGAATCTTGGACTCTGATGTGTGTATAATGACGTTAAAAGTATAAAATATATAAATGCATGTATTATAGCAAACAAATTATACGAAATACTTCATACGGGGGTAGATTTGACATTGATCTTATTATTTGTACTATTTCGTTTGCCCCGAAACTTGATGTATATTATTACGTAGAAATGTGTAGCTCAAATGTTATTTCAATCCATTCCACTATAATTTTACGATAAGTATTTAATTTATGAATAGTTAAAAAGCATAATATTATTTTATAGTTCATGATAATGATGTAAAGTAACGCAGCTGATGGAAAAGTGCATTCACTTTAATTAGTAAATTGATGATGAAAAAAATCATGTTGCTTGCATTGGTTGGATGACGTTTGATACGTCATGCAATTGACATGATTAATGATTATCATTTTCCTATAATCATATCTTATTTTAATAAAAGATAAAACTATATTTATACAATTATTATATAACTTATTCAGACACTTTGGACGTTTCAATCGAAAGTTTCTGAATGACAAATTATTTTTAAACATTTTTAATTCTATTTTAATTAAACTTCAGTATTTTTATTCGGTTGTTTAACGACTTTCAGTGAAAATGATCTTTGTTTATAATAATTGATTTATTAGCACAAAAAAGCAAAATAATATGATAAAATCATCTATATATTGATATAATTGTAGAAATAAATACTTTAATTATGATCTGTTTTTGCAAGTTGCAAGAAAGTAAATCGATTACAATGTTATTATATTATATTTAAAATATTTTTGATTTTTGTTTCATTAAACTGCATTTCGTTCTGGTGTAGCCTATTTTTTGTTGACAGTAAGTTATTGACAACTTATAGTACCTATAATCTTGTAACTTGCAATCCTATTTATTTATGTCGCTGTTGTTATTAAAATATTTGCTGTATAATTACAGCTTGCACGAGTAAGTTCCAAGATTTCCTATTGTTATACAATCTATGGGCCATTTTGGCTATCTTTTAGAATTTTCTAGACCTTCAAAGGTCTATTCTGGCTTTAATATGTATCTATCTAAACCATACGTCAGTGTGATCTTTAAAAGAGAACCTGTATGCCAATTTGCACTGTGTACAAGAATTTATGTATTGTTGCCTGCGACCAAACTTGTGATTTTACATAAGTTGTTGAATTCATGGGTTGCCGACAATTCCATGAAAATAAATTCAAATGGTTTTTTCTATAACGTAGGTCGTAAAAGCTATTTTCTTGATGGCCTCCTTTAGCTAAATCATAGGTACTTAGCATGCTTTCAAAGCAAGAAATTGTTTATTCTAAGACATCTGGGAATTAAACTTAAACCTCTGAATCAAGCGAGTCAAATTTTAACTATTAAACGATAGTTTGTGTTTATTGAGCTGAATGTTCACTTTTAATATTTTTCAAATAAATGTTGAGAATAAAATAATTTGCAACTTTGGTCGCAGCATTATTTATAGAATAGTGTAACATATTACTGGGTGTTCAACACTGAAACAGGCATTTTAATCAGAAATCTATTTAATTATATCAAATGTTATTACACACTTCTAGGATATTGGATGTATCAAATCATATCGATGTATTTAGCTCTGATGAATGTTATAATATAAATAATATATGGAAAATGATCTAATTAAAAAAATACGAGTACAATCACGTGCAAAAATCTTGTTTGATAATTTTGTACATGATTGTACTTTGACCCCGCAATATGTCAATGTTTTGACTTATTGAAATAGACTTATTTGACATTCCATGTGTATGTAAAATACAAATTAACCAACCTGGTATGTAGTAAAGGCAAAAAATAATCTGAAANTTTACTATATCCTATGTGTCATATTTTAAAAAAATCTTAATTTGACAATAAAAATTATAATCGAAATTTCTATGAGAAGGCAAAATAGATTTTATCTTTAATGCATAGAAATTTAATTATGCAAGTACTCTTTTATGGCAGCAAAATAACCACATTTTTGTGAAAAAATACCACTTGGTCAAAGATTTGAGAATGATTTTCAAATGTAACATACATTTTACTTTTTAGTTTTTAAATAAAAAAATCAAAACACCGTTTGTTTGGAGCTCAAACACTGGGCTCATTTTTATTAAACTTCAAATTAAATAAATAAATTGTTGTGCGGGTATCTTACGTTCGTTCGTTTCAGCCGAAAGACGTCCACTAATGGACAAAGGCCTGAAAGGCCTCCCCCAAGGATATCGGGTATCTTTAATTTACCGTAATTGACCGGAAGGTAGATTTTTGTTATTGTAAAGTGTCAAATCGTCAGTGTTCGGTTCGGTGTCAGGCACATCGCGTCGTATGCCGTACTTATTTATTTATTCGGGATTTCATATCAATTGAGGTCTTTTTAAGTGTGTGTTAAAGTGTGAAAAAATAGTGCTAAGTGCCTTGATGAGGAGTATCTACATACAGACAGCTGGTGCCGGGATTTTAAGTGATCGTGAGGTAAGTACTTAATGCCTATTTTTTTAATTAAGTTTTCTATTGAATACCAAAATATTTTATTAAATCATATACATATTTTGCCCATCGATTGTAGCTTGGTGGTATGCAATTGCTTTATTAGATCCCAGTGTATCAGTCTCTGTCGAAGCTGTGTGCATTTTTACTTGAAGTAGTTTTGCACTCAATGTTATCTAGCTCAAACTATGTTGTCTCGAGTCCCCCGATCGACTCATTCATGACAATGATGCATTACCTACTTAGACCTAAATCAAAAGTGTTAAGTCCCGTTAAAGTCGTACGGTGAACAAAATAACGAAACCCGAGGCGACTTAAATAATTAAGTAGTTTATTTTAATTATTACTTATTGGTGGAATTACAACAAAACACTCATTACAAACCGTAGGAGAAAAGCTAACCTGAAAAATGTAACCCTAAAACAAATGACTGCAGTTAAAAAATACGTCCATCGTCAAATAAATAACAAAAGAGGATCGTCAAAAAATTAACACAAGACTGCCGCAAACGTGTCTACTTACTTAATTATTTGAATGGCTGATGGATTTTTCGCGCTGTCCACGAGCGTTTATAATTCAGACGGCATATCGCCGGACACGGGATCGCTCTCACGGCTTAATTTGATTAATCGAGCTGGAGATGCAGGGATGGACTAGTGCATTTTGGGTTTTAATTTTAATAAAATAGGGATTCAAATATCAAAGTCAGGTACCTAGGTACTTACTAGCTACTACTTCTGCAGATTTTGTGCCATGACAAAAGTGGTTTAAGTTAAAATTGCGTGAGAATATCGCATTCTGCCCTTCCAACTTACACAAGGCATTCGTTGATCGTACTTAGTATATTTCCAGTACCTCTAGCACGAAAAACTTTTGAATTGGAATCGTTTGCGTATTCCAATCGCCATCAAAAGATTTAGTACGAAAACTAAAACAACCCTTGTGAACGTGTCGTAAAGTGAACTTGTATGAGAAATAGTTGCACGAAACTTATTTTGAAAATCAAAATTAACACGTTATCGTTTAATTCAAAGATTAGTATCGAATTCGATGACGAAAGTTCTTCATGTTAGAGGTACAGTGGGATTTTTTAAGGAAGAATCCTTCGTAACCCACAGTCCCCCACAGTGGGTAGGTAATTTTATGCATTTCATGATGAAAATATAAGAGTTCCATGTCAGGACTACGGAACCCTAAAAAGGCCTAAAAATTTTCAGTCTTAATTCATCACCACATATTATTTTTGTTCCATTAGTCTTTCTTCAAGGAATTCGATTCCCGCCTAAGGCAGTTCTATTTTTTCAGAGCTAATATTGAAGCTTTCATTTCACGTAAAATCTCGAACGCGCATGACGTTTTACCGATTGACCAATATTTTCCAGTAGAAATCAACTTTTATTTACCTTTTAATGAATATCTAAAAATAGAAGGCGAGTGCTTTACGCCCACAAACTTAATGGAAGCCTTCCCAAGTTGCCATTTTAATTTATTATTATTTATTTTCCTCAATCGCAACTCTTCCCAATACTTTTGATAATGATCTAAATCTTTTCAATAATTACCTATTGTGACAGTAAAACAGTAGATTATTAAAACGATTAAAATACCTCCCTGTCTCTGACAAGTTTCCCTAACTCTATTATTGCGTGCCATGTTCCTATTTCATGGAAACTAGATAGAGCTTATGGCACTAATAGGCTAGTTGCCTAAAAAAATTTTTTTAGTCCGTAATGTTTAATATCAAAAAATATTGGACACATATATTTTTATTTGTCAATCTAACAAATAATTACATAGTTATGGTGCGTTGAAGTTGCGCACGACGTCACAACGTGCGGCATTTTTAAGCAAGCGTTGACGTCACGGGAGCGAAAGAATCTAGAGTTTCACTGACAATAAAACCTAGAAATAGCTAGTTTGTCCCGGGGGTTAGTAAACTGTTTTTGCACCCGCAATGAAATTAATGAGGAGAAAATTGATGAGCTGATCAATCTACTCCAGTGCAAAGCGGGTAACATTTCTAAATATTACAACACGTAAGCTGCAAGGTACTTAGTATTTTTCTTTGCAATTTGTTTTAAGATAAGACACGTATTTGGACTAGGTGGATCGACGACTTCGTAAAGGTAGCAGGGAGGCGTTGGATGCAGGCCGCTACCAACTGGTCATTATGGAGATCATTGGGGGAGACCTATGTTCAACAGTGGACAACCTGTGGCTGCAATGATAATGATGACACCTACCATGATATTTTTTATTTTAATCGTTCATTTTCTGTTACTTAAACTATAGACGATCGACTTAAAATCCACTTGCCTTTGTAATCTGACTGCTTTGACAAGCAATATCTCTGCTTCCGTTTGAAGTCCACCAGTGAAAACCCATCAATCGGACAAAGCGATCCTTGATTTTCACGACCATGTCTCTTCCATTATACCTACCATCTGTTGATGCACATCGACCTTCACATTTTTGTTGCAAATTCGATCTTATCACAACGGCATAAGATGCTACAGTGTTAACTTGATGTGACGTCACAATACCAAACAAGGGGGTGAGGGGCGGGGGTGTTGTCGCACGTTCTGCCCCCCGCTGCGCTTGTCTGTGGGCCGTGCGTGGGACTTTATAAGCTAAAAAGTATGGATACGGACCCAAATATTATTATTAATCTTATTGAGTATTTTTAATATCTGAGAGCTCTATCAACTTACCCAAATCCTATTAAACTATTTCTAACTAGCGTAAACACAAAGATGGAAAAAAGAACTATTAAAGAAAAGCTATTTGTCGACTATTTTCATATGGTTTAAGATCTTTATTAATTCTCACAAGAATTATAATTCACTTACGTGAGAGAATTAAATACAATATTTTTTACATTATTTTTCATCGCATTGGAATCATCATTTAACAGAAAATGGCAATATAATAATAATTTTTTTTTTCATTATCCTTTTATTAGTCCTACCAGAGAATTATAATAAGTACTGCCCTACTAAAAGGATACGAAGGAATTGAAGTCCTAATAACCAAAGTAGGAAATACATAACATATTAATATTTTTTTTATTTAGTACAAATGTACCATTTGGAATAAGTAGATAGAATCCAAAACTCGTCGAGAATCATCTAAGTGCAAGTTAAAGATCAAACAAAATCCGGTTAGAGCCCTCCAATATTAGAGTAAAAGGTAGGTACATAGCTGAATCATTTAATAGATGTTACTTATAAAAGCCTTTTCCACACCTACACGTCCCTTTCATGGGTTTTGTAGACTGAAAGCACTATAATTACGTATGTCCGAACAGGAGCTTTTCATTTGTATGTGTTTGCGTTAATACGACATATCTACTTCAACCTAGGGTTGGTACAAAAATGTTTTCCATACTAAAAGCTGGTTTTATACGAATTTTACAATAAATAATGTTTTAACAATGAAATCATTGTATTTTATCTATCTTTGAAGATGAAATTGGTTAAACTTTTTGAACCTAAAAAGGAATAAATTAGAATTCAGTTCTTTATTTTCAATCAGACAAGGATGATAAAACATTAAATAAATAACATTTTACATTGTGAGTTACTTTAAGAAAAAAACAAATTAGAGATAATAATTTCCTTGTGTTTTGCATCCCTACCAAAATTTCACACAGCCCCGTAGGTACATAATGATTATTTGGAATAGTTTGATTTCTATTGAATTTCCCTGTGAGTACTCAGCAATTTGGAATCTGAAGCTGTTTGTGATTTCACTCCATAAACTCTAAAGTTGAGTTATTTATGCATATGGCATCTGCCATATGCCATAGCCTGTATGCGGGCAGCGCAGGACCGTTCATTGTGGAAAACCTTGGGGGAAACCTTTGTCCAGCAGTGGACGTCATTTGGCTGAAAAGAAGAAGAAGAAGATGGCATCTTACTGTGATGAATCATAATAACTGGGCAAATTATGCCTCAAGATAGAGTGGCGATAGCTAGATAAGAAATGTTCAGTATCGTGTAAAGTTGCCGACGATTAAGCCAGTGATATAACTACAGGGTAATTTCAGCCTTACTCAAATTCAATATCAAACATTCCTGTATTTGCATGGACTATTAAAAATAGTGCTTACAAGTCGTCAAATATTGAAATAAAAAATAAAAAACTAATAAAAAAACGAAAATTTTTCTCTTATAGAGCCTTCATATGTCTCATAATGTTTTTGCCCTACCAGCGCTTCGTGACCAACATTTGGCAAGTGCAGAAAAGAAGCGCCGCAACAAAATCAGTCACCACTGTCTGCCGGTTAAAGTAAATAGAAATAAC